GCAGAGGCTGTGTGCTGGCCTGGCTGTTTTTCTGGCTCCCTTTGTCAGAGGACTTTTGAAGGGCATTTGTTTCATGAGCACAAGTCTGAAATTGGGAACTAAAATTAATGGCTGTTAGTCTTAGAAGCATCATTGTTACTGCAGTTCAGTGTTCAGTAACTCCATCTGCAATGATTGGGATTGTTTCTCCCCTGGCTTTTGCATTCAGAACAACCCCAAATGTGTTATGTCCAGCTATTAAAAGTGGTGTTAATCCACTGATTGCTCCGGAGTTTGGGAATGTTCAGTCATGGCATCAGTTTTGCTGCTGAGCAGACAAATATAACACCCTAGTGACCTATAAATTGGAGCAGGTCATATGAATCCCACTGTCAGTGACTGGAGAACTAGTCACAATTTACTGTGATGATAAAAACTGCCTGGAATCCAATACTGGAAGAGCCAAAAGAAGAAAAAAAAAAGAATGGGGTAAAGGAGATTAAATCTCTGTCTTTATAGAGAAATGAGAGCACAGCTTTTTGTGTGTCAGATTTGCTTCTGTAATTTGTGGGCAAATAAGCCCAGAGAAGAGAAGCTGCATGGAGACCTCAGAGCAGCTTCCAGTGCCTGAAGGGGGCTGCAAGGCTGTTGGAGAGGGACCTTCATCAGGGACTGTAGCAATAGGACAAGGGGTGATGGGTTCAAATTGAAACAAGTTCAGGTTAGATATAAGGGAGTTCTTGCCTGTGGGGGTGCTGAGGCACTGGCACAGGGTGCCCAGAGAAGCTGTGGCTGCCCCATCCCTGGCAGTGTTCAGGGCCAGGCTGGACAGAGCCTTGGGTGACATGGTCTAAGGCTGAGGCATTCCTGCCTGTGACAGGGGATTGGAACTGGATGAGCTTAAGGTCCTTTCCAACGCAAACCATTCTATGGTTAAAATTTCTTAGTCATGCTTTCAGTGTCTAAAGTGTGTTTTGCAAGAACTGGGAATTGAATGCAGCTACCCACTGCCTCTCATGAAATAGTGCTACATCCCTGCCCCATGTTTTGGGCTGTAGTAGTTTAGTGTATTGAATCAGAGAGTTCTCAGAAGGAAGCGGAGGTTGGCAGCCAGAGAACAACAGAACTGAACCTTGTGCCTGATACTCGTCACATGAGCAGTGTGAGAACATGCAAGTCCCCTGGCAGCCAGCTTTGTGACAGCAGTAAGACATGGGCTATAATCATCATTGATTGCTGCTGGCAGGTAATGCTGCTTAAGTGTGAAGTTTCAGCAACGTGGTTTTGAAAAACAGATGAGGAAAGCAAAAGGAATGAGGCCATGCTTAATAAAAGATGATTTCCTCAATAAATACAGTTCTGGATCTAGGAAGCATCCTGGGTCTCTTGGAGTCCAGCCCCATGGCTCACTTTGCTGGGACTACAGCTGATCATAGAATCACAGAATATTTTGGGTTGGAAAGTACTTTAAGATCATCCAGTTCTACCTCCCCGCCATGGGCATCATGCTGCCTGATACCAGTCTGTGAGTCCACATGATGCTGGAGGATGTCCTGTTAGCTCTGGAGGATATCCTGTTAACTTGTGATTAAGCACATACCCCAGCTTCAGCAATTTTCATAGTTTAATAATCATTGACATGTTTTTCACTAAGTGCTGTCTGGTTTATAACTTGAAGGACAGCAGTTCTCACCTGAGGTGTTCTGGTAACTTGAAGAAAACACAGTGAAATGTCCATAATGGAGGTGAGTAGGAAAAGGCAGGAAGAGAGAAACTCTTTACAGCCACTGTGTTGTAGCGGTAGCAGCAACAGAGTTTCTGGTAGGACTGGAAATCAGCCGAGTCGCAGAATCCCAGACTGGTTTGTGTTGAAGGGAGCTTAAAGCTCATCCAGTTCCACCCCCTGCCACAGGCAGGGACAACTACCACTAGAACAGCTTGCTCCAACCAAGCCCCTGTGTCCAACCTGGCCTTGTGGACTGCCAGGGATGAGAAAGCCACAGCTTCTCTGGCCACCCTGTGCCAGCACTTCAGCACCTTCACAGCAAAAAGTTCCTTTTATCCAATCTGAACTTCCCCTTTTTCAGTTTGAACCCATCACCCCTTGTCCTGTCACTGTAGTCCCTGATGGATAGGGTTGATTTTACAGGTCTCTGTTCATGTGCAGTTAATGCCATCTGCCAATTCCACATAACTGCAACACATACCAGAGAAAAACAGAACAAGGAAGCCTTAACTGACGTGAAAAGTAGCTCATGTCTTCTTCCTCTGGGTGAGTGGATTAAACATGGCATTGCACAATCTGTAGCCACAGAGAAGGTGACGTCTGCCTGGAGTGTTATCTGCTGCTGCAGTTGGGAGATGTGAATGAGCTCCATAATCCATTGACATAAAAGTTGTGACAGCACTCGCAACCTCCCTGTAGTCTGTTGTGTTTGGAGACAACACTTGGTCAGGGGTGACTGACTGATACAGGCTCAGAAGGTGGAAGTTTATGATAGCAAAGGCCCTTTATACAAATAGGGGAATTAGAAGAAGACTTTACTGCATGTGCTGGGTATGGAATCCTCAGCGGTTTCAAAAGTTGCTTAATTTCTTGTAACTTTGTTCAGGAATAGAAAAGAAATATTGCTTATTTAAATGTCAAAAAGTGCAATTTGCTGTTACAATTTGATTTGTTAGATCTATGGAGTTTCTCAAATATATGTGCACAATGTTGTTTTTCCTCTATGAGCTGTTTTCTATAGGATCTACTTTGTTGTTTTTCCTTTCAGGCAGTCCAAGTTGCAGATATGAAGAATTCTAATGTCCTTCAGGGATCTCCAGCTCAGATGATTCAGGCAGATTTGTGAAACACTTCAGCTTTAGTATAAAGCACCTCAAAACCTGAAGGTTTTGTTCATATGCATAGTTTTTATGAGATACGTTCTTACCCTGTGTAATGTTTGAGTAATTTTAGACTAGACAGGTTTCAGCTTTTACCCTTTATTCTACTTACCTGTGGATTACGCTGCACAGCAATTTAAACCCTTCTTTCTGAGTGTGATCAAAAGCCGTTGATTTGAATGCTGTACTAATGGAGAAGATACTTATCGTGAGTCTTCCCTGGGCATGTGTGAGCTGCAGGTGGAACCGGAGCTTTCCCCGTTTCCTGACAAAGATGCTGTGAGGGCTGGAGCAGCTCTGCTCTGGAGCCAGGCTGAGAGAGCTGGGCTGGGGCAGCCTGGAGAAGAGAAGGCTCCTGAAGGGGAGACCTTAGAGCACCTCCAGTGCCTGAAGGGGCTGCAGGAAAGCTGGAGAGGGGCTTGGGACAAGGGATGTAGGGCCAGGCCAAGTTGGAATGGCTTTAACCTGCCAGAGGGGAGACTGAGATGAGCTCTTAGGCAGAAGCTCTTCCCTGTGAGGGTGCTGAGGCGCTGGCACAGGGTGCCCAGAGAAGCTGTGGCTGCCCCGTCCCTGGCAGTGTTCAAGGGCAGGTTGGACCCAGGGGCTTGGAGCAAGCTGCTCTAGTGGAAGGGTTCCCTGCCTCTGGAGGAGCTTTAAGGTCCCTTCCAACCCAAACCAGTCTGAGATTCTGGGATTCCTGAGCTTGGGGCTGCCCCTGTCCCTGCAGCAGTATGTCTGTTTTCAAATGTATGGGTGAGGCTGTTGTCATCATATGTGCAGAGCAGTGTGAAGGCTGCTGTGACTCAGGTCAGTAGTGTCACTGCTCCCAGCTGCTGGAGGTGCAGTCCCCTTGCAGGGCTGGATGCTGTGTCTTTCAGAAAGACCTAAATGAAGATACTTGATAATGAGGAGCTGTGTTCACATGCAGGCTTGCTGTCAGGCTTGAGGAGCTGTGATAAACAGCTGGGTTTCAGGTGAATATGCTGTGTAAGATATTAAAGTGAAACCAGTCTAATTCTGTCTGTTCTCTAGTGTTGGCTAAGCCAGGAGAAGCTGGATTTCTGTTTACTGGTGTGGAGACCTCTCTGCACTCAGGCTGTGCTATATTTAAATCGTACCCTGTTCGTCAGATGTCCCTATAACAGCATGTGCTTTGCCAAGATCATGGGATGAGCCTCTCCTTTTAAAAGCTGTTTTTGAATCTAAATTGTTTTGAGGAAACTAGTTAATATGCCATGGCTGGGGTATCTTGTGTCTTTACTTTGTGCTGTTAAGTCATTCCAAGACCGTTTTAAAGGTGGTGTGAACAGCTATGGGAAATGCCATTTCACCACTGGTACAGTAGAATTGCTGCATTTCTGAAAGATGAAACTATTATTAATGCACAAAATAGGCTCTTTTCCAGTCTCTCAGCCTGTGTCTTGCTGACATTTAGTGCTGTCTTTAGTTAGGAGACTGTCAACTCAAAACAGAACTGCTGTGAACTGAGGCCAGAGATTGACAGTGGTGAGCCCTGACATGGACACACCAGCACCCTTGTGCTGCCCCGGCCATGGTCCACAGATGGTGCTGGAAGCAGCATCCCCCACTGGTATTGAGTATGCTGAGGCTTCTGCCCATGTGAGTTCTGGTCCAGGTTTACCACCAAGAGGTTCACTTGGTGCTGGTGGTTTCTTGGAAGTGTCTTTAGTTGGCAGCCAGACTGACAACAGCAAACTTGTTTCATGCAGTCTATTGCGAGAGCTCTAAAATGTCAAGCTTTGGTCACATCTGATCAGGATTGAATTGAAATCCTGGGCTTAGAGAGAGCTGCTCTGTACATTAATAGACCCTTTTAGGCCCTGCAGTAAAGACTCCACTTCTTGTTAAGGATTTATTAAACGCATGGATAAGCTCCACTACTGGCATATGTTAATTTCTTTGTGAATCTCTTGGATTATTCAGCAGAACAGCTGGATATTCCTCCCAAGGACAGCCTTTGAGGACAATTCCCTTGAAATAAATCAATTGTAACAAATCCTGGCCTTTCTTTTGTTTGTTGTCTTTGAGATAACCATGAAAGCAGCTGCAGTTTTGGCCAGAATTGCTCATGAAGTTAAAAATGAGCTGCAGTGGACTGATCTGGAATATATTTGCATCTTAGAACTTCCCCTTTTAAGAGCCACCTTACTCAGTGCCCAAATGGGCACCTTACCCCTTCACAAACACCTCGGTGCATGTGTTGGCATAAACATCACCTCTGCTTTTTCTATGTTGTATTTTTAAGTCGTATTTTCCCTTTCTTTAAACTTCCACAAAACATGGCTCTGGTTCCTGCCTCATTCAGCAGAAACGTGACGCAGCCAGATATGTTTTTGTGGAAGAAGTATTAGTCACAGAAGAAAGAATGTTATGAAATATACTTAGAAAGTGTTAGAGCTGTGCTTGGCATGTGAACTGTTTACCCACACGTATAAACAGCTCAGGAGGAACTTTAACTCTTGCCAAGGTACCATCCTAAACCTGAGTTATTTTGAAACCTTGAGCAACGTGGTTTTCAGTTCTTGAAAATAAGGTCTCAGGTTCTGTGCTGACACAAACTGAGAGTGCCAGTGGGTGGCCTCACCAAGGGGACATTTTAGCCCCTGCTTTTGACTCCCTAAAAATAAATCAAGGTGTGTTTTCCTGAAGAGCTGCAGTGTGCTCAATAAAATGCTTGTGTTTATGTGGGGTTTGGATTGCTTCAGTGTTACTTGCAGAGTTTACTCATGAGGCTGCACTCTAAAAGGTAGGCTTATGTTTGCTTTGCTTTTTGTTGTTGTCTGGATCTTAATGTGAATTAAACAACTTAACTTGGAGCAGTGCAGCTGATTCTGCAGCCGGTGTGGATCAGCTTTACTTTGCTGGTGCCACAGCTCATCTCAGCCCTTCACCTGGGTAGCTAAGCTGTAGCTCTGGTGGCTTTATCTGACCCAGTTTCCAGCACCTCACCCTGCTGCCTTGTGGTGAGATACAGCAATGGGGATGTCAGATAATCCCCCAGCAGAGATCTGGTGCCAGCCTGTCTCCTACCAAAGTGAGGTAAAGATCTCCTGTGCTGGGTTATGACACCTGAGTGTTACCAAGCCTGGTTCTACTCTTCCACACGGGACACAAACTGCAGCCAGATCTGTCATCTGTGGCAGCAGAGCCCCAGGGCAGAGGTGTCAGGGGAAATCAGAGTTTACTTTCCCATGTGGCCCCACTTGCAGCAGTGCGTGCAGTTCTGGTGTGCCCATCATAAGAAGGACATGGAGCTGTTGGAGCAAGGCCAGAGGAAGCCACAAGGCTGACCAGAGCCTGGAGCAGCTCCCGTATGGAGACAGGCTGAGAGAGCTGGGCTTGTTCAGCCTGGGGAGAAGCTGCTGGAGACCTCAGAGCAGCTTCCAGTGTCTGGAGGGGGCTACAAGGATGCTGGAGAGGGACTCTTCATCAGGGACTGTATTGACAGGACAAGGGGTGATGGGTTCAGACTGAAACAGGCAGAAGCTCTTCCCTGTGAGGGTGCTGAGGTGCTGGCACAGGGTGCCCAGAGAAGCTGTGGCTGCCCCATCCCTGGCAGTGTTCAAGGCCAGGTTGGACACAGGGGCTTGGAGCAAGCTGCTCTATGGAAGGGGTCCCTGCCCGTGGCAGGGGTTGGAACTGGAGGAGCTTTAAGCTGCCTTCAACCCCAACCAGTCTGTGATTATTGAAGTACCTCAGTGAGCACTGAGCTCCTCCTGACCATAGCACAGATGCCTTTTCAAAACTGGAATATTTACTTTCAAATGTAATTGCATGTCATTAAGCAGTTTGCAGCTGGTTTTGTGATGTTGTGTAACTGTTACTCTGAAATCTCTCTGGTGAACAGCTACTGTGACCACATTCAACTTTCAAAAATCTATTGTTGGCAGCAGAGTGGAAAGCTATGCAATTGGTTAAAAATGAATGGCAGTTGGAGTTGGGAATGAGGGAGCAGTTACTTACCGGGATCCCTTCCAGAGGAGGAAGGTGGAGTTTGAAGCTGCTCATGGCCTTTCTAAAATAAGAGTCAAAGCAAGTAAGTGCTTTCTGCTATGGCTGAAACACCAACTGATGATGTGTAGGAGATGAAAAGCTCAGGGAGAAGAGAAATTTTGCTTTGATCTGAATGTTTCTCTCTACTGATATTCTGCTGTAAAATAATCCACTTGTATTAAAACTCTTGTGTACTTCAAAATTCACTGATTAATACACTGATCCTCATCTCAAGAGTATCCACACTGGACGGTTTTTGTGCTGAAAGCAAACAGAATGGTTTATCCAGCCTTTATGGTGCTGCGGTCTGGGTGTAGGTGCTGGGATGCTGTGTTGCAGGCCAAAATTGCAGGTGGTGGTGGCAGAAATGGCTCCAGGGACTGGCCTTGGGAAACTGCCTGTCCTGAGACCACTGTGGTGAAGCAGACAGGAGGGATGTCTGGTGTTGAGCCCCTCACGTGTGAGCTGAAGTGTTCCTTTGTCCCCTGCTCTCTGCTCCTTGCTCGTTTTGGGGGTTCATGCTCTACCGTGTGTGCTGCCTTCAGCTTGAGCACTGTGTGCTCTGGGGAGCTTTGCATCGTCCTGAATGGTGGCAGCCTGCCTCCCCCTGTGTGGGACAATGTGCCTCAGTGATTAGAGGCTGTTGCTCTTCCTTTACATCCCCCCCAACCTCTTTATTGTATCCAGACACACCAGATAATTGGACATTAAGGAATTAAAAGCTTGTTCCCAAGCCACAGGTAGTGCTTGCAGTACGTGGTACATATGTATAGTGCAAACACGAGTTTGTGTATTAATGATGTGATATCCAACATAACATGATAGTTGCATTGTTTGGTTTGGTTTGAAGTAAGATACCTCTTAAGGCATCTTTCATTAAGCTGTTCAGGTGCTTTGCGTTGTTCAGCATAACTTGCCAGCACACACGCACAGATGCTTTACCACAGGTTTGAGTCAGGATGAAAATAGTTTCCTACTTATTCAGGTTCTCTTTGCATTAATTCTATATTATTGATGATCTGGGATATATTTAGTCCTGGTCCATGAAATTGTGTTTAAGCAAGCCATATACATTTTAGGGGGAAAGCATTAAGAACAGCAGAGTAGATTGATCTGTTACTTGGAACTGGTCACATCTCGGGCGTGATGTATAAGAACAATGGAGCAAATGTGGTCCTTCTTACTGGGCTCAGTAGCAATGCATCACACAGGCACTGGCATGTCAAAGTAACTCATTTTATCCTCAGTTACTGTAAATTTCATTGGGCCCACATCTGGGATCTCTGAATTTGGGAATCCACATGCACATGGCTATGTGCATACTAGAAATCCTGGGAGTTCATTCCTTTCTGCCTGTGTGAGGGGTGTGCTGTGGGTGGGTGTCTTGGACCATAGAGCATCAAGGGTTTGATAACACTGTGCCTTGTCTGCCACATACTTCAGAGAATCACAGAGTGGTTTGGCATGGAAAGGACCTTCAGATCACCCAGTTCCAGCCCCCTGGCACGGGCAGAGACACCTTCCACTCGAGCAGCTTGCTCCAAGGCTCTGTCCAAAAGAGGCTGAACCAGGAATCTGTGGAGAAAGAGAGATTTTGAGGGGACTTTTGCTGGGAAACAGGAGGCTTAAAATAAAGCTATTTCAGGTTTGTATATTCAAACAGGTCATGAATCAGCGCGGGGGGGGGGAAGAGTGGAGACTTTTAAGCTGAAACATGTACATGAATCAGGCACTGGGGGAGTGACCATCGGGTACCAACAGTTCAAACCGGGCAGCTCTGCTGTGACTTGGTGCTTCCCTCTCCTGCAGGCGGGTTTGGGGCTGCCGGTGCTTGTAGCACAGAGGACGTATGAGCCGCCAGTAAGTAAGAGCTGTGCTGTTTGAGAGGGGCTGTTTGCACAGGGTTTGCTTCAGGGTTACAGTAGGAAATGGGAGTGATTATTTCTTGTCCAGAAGTTCGGATAGGTGCAGGTAAATCAGACTTGGAGCTTTCTCAGAAACACTGTTTTCCTTTTTTGTATAGCTTAGAATTGGGAAGTTGCATTTAGTGTGTGGCTGTAGGAGTTGGAATGGTGTGGCTTTGAAACCCAAGTGAATTTAACTGCTTAAGAAGAAAAGTTGAGAAAGAAAATAGCCTTTTTATATCTAAAGAGCTGAAGTGGGTCTTGCTTTTAAACTTTGAAACATTTATTGTTCTTCTGAAAGGGTTTTTAAGTAGTTTTGCAGGAAATGGAAAGAGGACACAGGGCACAGCCCTGTTGTCTGCTGCTGTTGCTTCTGGTGCAGGCATTTAGGTGTATTTGTAGCTTAATCTAAGGCTGGTGAAGACAAAGTGTAACTCATGGGTGTCACCTGGTTTAACACTTTATTTAGCTCAGAATTCTGTGGGTTTAAGGGGGACATTTATTTTTGCTGTCTCTAGAGAAGAATAATTTGCTTGTATTTGAAACAGCTCATCTTTTGGCAGTTTTCCCCCTACCCTGATCAGATTTGCATCCATCCTTCTGCCTAGGAAGGAGCCAGGTGTTCTATATGGGTATAGAGTCACAGACTGGTTTAGGTTGGAAGGGACCTTAAAGCTCCTCCAGCTCCAACCCCTGCCACGGGCAGGGACCCCTTCCATAGAGCAGCTTGCTCCAAGCCCCTGTGTCCAACCTGCCCTTGAACACTGCCAGGGATGGGGCAGCCACAGCTTCTCTGGGCACCCTGTGCCAGCGCCTCAGCACCCTCACAGGGAAGAGCTTCTGCCTAAGAGCTCATCTCAGTCTCCCCTCAGGCAGGTTAAAGCCATTCCCCTTGGCCTGTCCCTACAGGCCCTTGTCCCAAGCCCCTCTCCAGCTTTCCTGCAGCCCCTTTAGGCACTGGAGCTGCTCTAAGGTCTCCCCTTCAGGAGCCTTCTCTTCTCCAGGCTTTATTTAAATTGCTGACTGAATTTAATCAGGCAGCACCAGCAAAGCTGCTGTTACTTTAGTGTTAAACAGCTCTTTATGAGGATCAGGTATAAGAACTATAATTTTTCAGATGTCTTTAACCCCATAGTGTGAATAGTGGAAATAGCCTTTAGATGTAGCTTGATTGTGCTCTTTTAACATTAGTGCCTTGAGTCTTACATGGAGGAAAATAGCCCCAGCAAAGCTTTAACCTCTTGCCTTACTCAGAGATTTTGTTCCCCTCTGAGACATTCAGTGGTAGGATGCACATTATTAGGTGGTCATCATTGATTCCAGTTGATGAGGTGGCCACAGTGTCACCCTCCTGCTTTGGATAATCCTGTAATAAGTTTCTTCAAGTTAATAAATCTCAATGATTTTTTGCCATGTATTAGTCTTGGTGATTATAGGTTGGCAAAGGAAGTGATGCTGTGAGTGTGAGGCAGTGACGTGTGGGAGCTTTCAGCATCTGAGCCAGGCACAGGCAGTTACATGAGGGCTGCAGAGCTGTGAGTCTTACGTCAGGGTGGGGATGGGCAGTGCTGAGCCATACAAACCAAACACGGTAGGTTTGAATTGAGTTTGAGGAATAGGGATTTTTAAGGCCAAAGTCAACAAGCAGGTCTGTAAACCCTGCTTACAGTGAAGCTCTAGGCACAGGATAGGAGCAAACGCTTGAGCATTTCATCAGCCTCCTTGCTGTCTCTTGCCAGGCTCCACAGGCTGTCCTGCATTGCATCAGGCCTGCTGGATGTTATTTTCCAGCTGTGATTTGAAGCCAAATGGAAAATCAGTCTTCCTTATATTGATAGAACAAGGGAAG